TCGCTTGTCGCTTGTCGCTGTTGTCGTTCGTCGCTTGTCGCTACCATAAAAAGGTACTTTAACAATATTTTAATTTTCAAAATTGTCAAATTACAAACAGGAATTTTGTTGTGACTTTTACAGTTATAAAGTAACTATTTAATAGAAATAGAAACCTTAAAAAATTAATATTGTAATGCAATTATTGTAATGCTCAAATCAAAAAATATTTACATTATCCATGTCTGCCAATACTATATAATTTTTTATTTATATTGCATTTTATATAATGGCAATGTTTTCATTTAAAATTTGACTTAGGCCCTATTGGGCTCAATACAGGCCCTGAATCCAAAATCCAATAAGATCATCTATTGGCCCCCTTCAAACCTTTCAACTTTTATATCTGAAACACTTTTCCAATAAACCAAGCCGTCAATTGACACTTAACAAAAATTAACACAATAACATTTAATTAAACGACACCCAACGATAAAGGGATCATGGCGACACTGATTAAATCGACATAGAACATTAAAGGTTAAAGCGGGGAGCATACACTTCTGCACAACGCATAATGCGTAAGCATAAGAAAATTGATTGGTTCATACACATGTGCATAAGGAAATAGACTAATCAATTTTCTTATGCTTACGCATTATGCGTTGTGCAGAAGTGTGTGCTCCCCGCTTAACACTCTGTTAACACCAAACCAACATCCAACGATGAGGATCAATCTCCAACCTACACTAAACATTGAAGCTTAATCCCCAACCTATGTACACCTATCATTAAGAGTAATCTCCCAATAATGTATATACACTCATCATTGAGGATTGAACCCACGACTTACCTAAACCTTAATGGTCAACACTCAATCTACACCTAAATTTAAGTGTTGACACTTAACTTTGATGACAAACACTAAACTTACGCCCAAATTTGGGAGTAAGTTTAGTGTTAACACTCAATTTAGGTGTTGACCATCAAAGTTGAGTGTACTTTTTCATAAGGGTTTTCAATCTCATTTAATTTAACGTCGTTTATGGAATATCAATCAATACGTATATACCGTAACTATACTGACATTAATCTTTATGTACAGCAAACAATGCCAGATAAATAAGATAAAGCTTCAAAGTATTTTCCTTATTATTTTGTACGCAAAAATATCTAATAAGTTCGTCAATATGCAAGTAAAAATTCGTAATTATGCTGACATTAATCCGTATGTATAGTACGTTACAGATAACGGATAAAAATCTTGAAACTTTAAAGTGGTCGCAATTAGTTGCACATTCAAGGCGATTTTCGAGAGCTACGCCTACTTCTCTCCTATTGCCCCTCCGCTCGGCCACACTAATCACTTGTAGGTCTCCCCGACCGAGCAGAGCGACAAGGGGAGAGAAGTAGGCGTATCTCTCCAAAATCGTCTCGAATGTGCAACTAATCTCCCACTTAAAAGTGTGTGCAGTACGTAATAATACGTTCACTGCTGTGCGACCATGCCTGAGCGTGTGAAATTTTTTCAAATTTTATGGTCGATTTTGAATGCTTTTCGTTTAATAAGCATTACTCGTTTTTGTAAAAACGTTTTTATCCATTCTTCAGAATTTGAAAGGACAATCAGTAATTTTGGAGTACTCGTATAACAGACAAAAAAAGTTAACCTAAAAATGTATGCCATCTTCATTATAAATGTCCAATAAAATAATATCTTTTTAAGTATTTTAAGTGAAAAATAATAAAACTTACTCCTTGAATACTTTCTTTGAACTTGTCCTCTTCTCGCCTATCCTTCACAATTAATTAATCACAATCTAAGTCTTTCACTTCACTCTTCTTCTTCTTCTTATATTTATATTGGCTCCTGCCTCTAATACGAGGTCAATATGGCCAGCATTTGCCCCTAATTGTTTAGCTTTTACTTCACTCGATCTTTAGATGGCGATCAATCACAATCCATAAACGCATAATAGATTGACTCGCACTTGCGACTTTTCTAATTGATCGGTGATAACTGCCAAGAACAGGCCCCCCTAGAGAAAATGGCCGTACCGCAGAGACGAAGAAAATGGCCGTATCGCACAGAAGAAAATGGCCGTCAGGCAAAGACAAAGAACGTGATTGGTTGAGGGGCGTACATGCGTGTCCGTCATGTGTGTGTTTTAGAAAACGCCGCCAGAGCGCGATACACGTATCGAAGTTGTCGTCACAATCGAGATAATTCATTGTTGCGCTGCACACGTGAGGAGACAAGTGAGTATTAAGGTGGAAGCACATAAAATTACAGGACCCATAGGCAGAATGCAGAAGCCATAGCGCATGCGCTGTGGTATTACTTTATCTGCCTATAGCAGAATGGCAGATATCATAGCGCATGCGCTATGGTTTCTGTATTCTGCCCATGGCTTCTGGATTTTCAATCTACATAAAAATACATAATGCATAGCCACGGGCATAGGCACATACATTCTCCTTGTAGTCGGTTCTTCTAGAAAAGTGATCAAGAACAAAGAACGGATTTATATTGATTAACACGTAAGTATTCTCATTATTTAAGTATCAACGTAATGAAATTAACCGACCGTATATAATTATTAGTGTGAATTGTCTCAGTTTCGTAAACATAGTGTTTTGAGGTTAATTTGATTTTGTGTGCCGAAGTATCCAAATTGCTTTCTACTTTGAAGGCTCAGAGCTCCGCGACTAACAAGACGCAAGCAAACTCGAATCAAGACGCGTCGAAAGCTAAATCGGCGCAAGATCCGAAAACGGATAGCGAGACGTCGTCGAGTCCGAGGCGATCACCAAAAATTGTAATTTATTGCAAAATAAACGCATCTCATAATTTTCGGTAAGTTTCATATACAGTTTAGGTGTAAAAATTTATTATTAAAACATTTTCTTGATTTGGTTAATTTTCTCGAATAATACTTTATTATTTGTATGTATCATTGAATATTTTTCACTTATTTTGATATTTGATGTTTGCGCTGTTTGGCCATTCTTTAACGTTTTTGCAATTAATTCATACAATTCTGAATGTGATTTTAATTCGAGAAGACTGCATTAGATTGAATTACATTTGTCTTTTCACAGAAATGGATGATTTCGATTTGTTGTTAATTGCTCTGGTCAACATGGGAGCATTTTTGGTGCAACGTCGTAGAAACCGTGAACGTCATCGTCGCCGCCGCGCCGTCGGCGTGTCTGGGTACGACCAATTAACACAAGGAGAAGACAGCAAGGAGCGTTTTACAATCTTTTTCAGGAGATGAAAACAGATGAGCAAATGTTCCACAAGTATACACGTATGACACTGCCAACATTCCAGCACTTGATGGAGATTGTTAATCCAAGTTTAATGAAACGAAGTCCACGGGCACTTGAACCAGAGCAAAGAGTTGCTTTTACATTGCGGTATATGTTCGGATTACTCGTAGTCTAACAATACATATGTGTAAAAACAGTTTTGGCAATTAATATTATAATATTGATAATGATGTTACAGATTTCTGATTGGAGGCAAAGTTCCAGCAGTTGCTTTTGCCTATCGTGTTGGTTTATCAACAGTACATAAAATAATTAAAGAGACGTGTGACGTATTTGAAAGACTTTTTTGGTCCTATCTATCAACGAACTCATTTAAGAGAAGAATATTTACAAATTGCTGAGGGTTTTTGGACATTATGGAATTTTCCACATTGCTTGGGGGCAATTGATGGAAAACATGTCGATGCTTAATGCCCCCCTAATTCTGGTACGCTGTACTTTAATTATCACATACGATACAGCATCGTACTTTTGGCTGTGTGATCACAATTATCAATTCACTTTGGTGGATATTGGGTCAATGGGGAAGAACAGTGATGCGGGAATTTATGGGAACAGCTACTTGAATGTGACGAATGAGATGCTGGATATTCCAGAAGGAACCAGTTGCTTAAGCGGAACCGATATACAAGTGCCTTATTTTTTTATTGGGGATGAAGCATTCCCCATTGGAAAGCATTTGATGCGGCCATATGCTGGACGGTATTTGGGGGAACGCAAAAACATATTTAATTATAGACTTTCGCGAGCCCGGCGTATAATAGAAAATACATTTGAGATTTTGGCAAAAAAGTGGGGTATATACATATAACAGACCGATCGCTGCGATTCCTGAAAATATCAATAAATATATTTTGGCAACTGTATGTTTGCAAAATTTCTTAAGAAACAAAGAAGGTAATATTTTACAATTTGAAAACAATGATGAAATTATTGAAAATAACGAAAATGGTGCATTTGCGACGCACATTAAAGACTCTCTTTGCAATTATTTTATGACTCTAAATGGAATGGTCAATTAGCAGCATGATTATGTAACAAGAGGACAAAATCAAGACTTTATCTACACGTAAACATTTGATCGATTGATTACACAGGTGTCATATTGTGAAATGTAATGCTAATATGTATTTATTATGTGATTATAAAATAAATAGTACAAAATTTCTTTAATATTATTATTATTAATATTATTATATACCAGTACACATATATGTTATTACTAAAATTAATATTGCACAATTTTAAGACATGAGTATTATATGTATCTACGAATAAATGCAAATTATTTATTTTATTACAAAAATCATCTCGCTCACAGGTTTTCCTTTCTCCACAAAATTTTCATGATTTCTTGTTTCTTGACTTGTTTTATATCATCATCCAATTGTTCTAATTCCGCCAGATTGTAAAATGAAGTGTCTGGATCATTCTGCATTTGTGCACCATCTTTTTTAGAATTCAAATGCTCTGCAACTGCTTGATTCAAATTAATAAAAGACGCTTCGAACTTATCGTTTTCGAAAGATCACCAGGCAATAAAATTTGACACGTTATTGAAGTTGACAAAACGAACGACGAAAATGCGTTAATTTAAGTCGCTAGGTTAAAATTGTATTTATACGAATAAAAATTTATATATATATATATATATATATATATATATATATATATATTATTATTGATACAATATGTTCGCGCAAATATGAAATTTTGTATTAATTATTAAAAACTTGATTGTCATTAATTGATAGATTAAAACTTAATTATGTAATTTGACGGTTGCGCTGATACCTAAGAATTTAAATTCGTGGAAATTATTACTAGTAAAAATCACGAATATGCATATACAAAGTAACTGACAGGTAAAAGAGTAATTCGACTGACAATAACAATGTTTATTTATATTAATTAATAATAAAACATATTATCAAAACTTATTATTGTCGATAAAAATTAAAAACTGGACAGATAACGAAGTTCGACAGATGCACTGTCTTCGGATACTTCGGCACTGATATCAATTTTGCTCAGTTCACTTAATTTGTTCACAATAGCGGCCGGCTGGGGTACGTTGGACACGGATGTCGCAGGCTGGAACTCCTCCTTGATAACGAGAAATCAAGAGAATGTTTTAATAATAAATTTTTACACCTAAACTGTATATAAAACTTACCGAAAATTATGAGAAGATGCGTTTATTTTGCAACAAATTACAATTTCTGGTGATCGCCTCGGACTCGACGACGTCTCGCTATCCGTCTTCGGATCTTGCGCCGATTTAGCTTTCGACGCGTCTTGATTCGAGTTTGCTTGCGTCTTGTTGGTCGCGGAGCTCTGAGCCTTCAGAGTAGAAAGCAATTTGGATACTTCGGCACTGATATCAATTTTGCTCAGGTCACCTAATTTGTCCAAAATAGCGGCCGGCTGGGGTACGTTGGACACGGATGTCGCAGGCTGGAACTCCTCCTTGATAACGAGGTTTTGCGTCTTCTCGATAGGCTCGATTTCGTCTTTCGAACTATCCACTATAGTAAGATTACCTCCCTCGTCATCATCATCATCATCGTCCTCGTCATCCGAATACCAATCTTTGATAATCTGATCGGTATTTTAGGTGCATCGGACTCGTTGTCTATGTTTTTCAAACTGTCCTGAGCCGCGCGTTGCTGCTGCTGTATTCGGCACACAAAATAAAATTAACCTCAAAACACTATGTTTACGAAACGGAGACAAATCACACTAATATAATTATATACGGTCATTGTCAGATCGTATTTTCATTACGTTGATAATTAATTAAATAATGAGAATACTTACTTTGTTAATCAATATAAATCCGTTCTTTGTTCTTAATCACTTTTCTTTAGGACCGGCTACAATGAGAATGTATGTGCCTATGCCCGTGGCTATGCATTATGTATTTCTATGTAGATTGAAAATCCAGGAGCCATGGGCAGAATACAGAAACCATAGCGCATGCGCTATGATATCTGCCATTCTGCCATAGGCAGATAAAGTAATACCACAGCACATGCGCTATGGCTTCTGCATTCTGCCTATGGCTCCTGTAATTTTATGTGCTTCCACCTTTATGGTCAATTCAGACATAATTGTGCCATGCCCGTACCGGTGACCGTACCGTGATTACCGTGACTGTACCGTACACGGACAGAAAGGTTAGTTAATAAAGACGATAAGATTTACATAGAAATGTTTATATGTAATCGTGACCGTACCAATGTTGGCTCGTCCGTATTCATGGCTCACGGTCACCATGATCAGCGACGTTATTTTTACAAATACGGCTCGCACAGTACGACGTTTACGTTTAAACACGTTTCCGATGAAAACACCGTCGTACCGTGCGAGCCGTATTTGTAATAAAAATAACCTCACCGATCATGGCAATCGTGCACCCATGAATACAAACGGGCCGGCATTGGTCACGGTTACATATAAACATTTCTATGTAAATCTTATTATCTTTATTGACTAATCTTTCTGTCTTTGCACGGTACAGTCACGGTACGGGCATGACACCCCTGGTAACCAGTTTGCTAGTTCAGATGCGTCCCGAAAAAGTGCGCAAGAAAACAGTCCAAAATTGCGACAAAAGTGCATAATATCTGTGATTGAACGAGTACTTACTGTACTATTGCAGTAGTCTGCTGTAAGAAGCTACTGTGAAATTTTATACTATTTGTTAAAAGTAAACATGTAGCAGAAATGTGAAAACAATATGGAAGTATCTTTTGAGTACAGATCCAACCGGCAGAAACGTGAAAAGAACGTGCAAGCATCTACCCGTAAGAAAAAGAGCAGTCGAGTGTGCTAGACGCTTGAAACATATTTGCAGCAAAATTTCACAAGTGTATGTCACTTAAATTGTTGTTTTTGCCGTACAGATCCGACCGGCAGAAACGTGAAAAGAACGTGCAATCATCTGCCCGTGAGAAAAAGAGCAGTCGAGTGTGTTAAACTCTTGAAACATATTTGCAGCAAAATTTCACAAGTGTATAATGTCGCTTAAATTGTTGTTTTTGCCGTATAGATTCGAGTGACAGAAATGCGAAAAAAGCGTGTAAGCATCTGCCCGTCAGAAAGAGAACAGACGAGCGCGCTAAACTCCCAGACAACACAAAATATTTATAAAATATTTATAAAATATTTATAAAAAAGATTAAATATTTTGAAAATATATACGTTGAATATTTTGTAAATATTATAATGTCCGGAAAATAAAAGTATCTAAAAGATTATAAAAAATATTTTAAAATAAAGTGTAAATAATTATCATCAATATTATTAAAGTTGTTTTTAATTTATGTTATATAAATATTTATAGAAATAATTACTGTAAGTTAAGTGGAGATTATGAAACTGTTATAGCTTCGTGCTGTGAGATGTAGGTTATACGTACGGTCCATTTTGGCGTTACGAATTTCGAAAAATGTTTGATTGATAAATCAGATGTACGGTATATTCTACCAAAATAACGATAACGCTCTCAATAACGATAAATAAACAAAACAAGGCAAATGAGAGCTTGTTCGCGACGATGGACGGGCGACAGTAATAAAATATTACAAATTGAATAAAATATATATAATAAAGTAAACGTTTCGGTTCTTGATTTGGACCCTCCTCAGTACATACAGCTGGTCGAGTGAAATGCAGTGGTCACAAGTAGTAAAAAATGCCGCGTAATACTTATTGTATTACAAGAGATGGTGTCGTATATCTTATAAATTTGACTGTCAGGTAACTCTTGTGATCACTTTTTAAGGTATGACTATATATATTTGTTTAATTTATTTCTTTTTATGGAATTAAGGTAATAGTCACGTTGAGGATACGAGATCCACACTCTCATAATCGGAGAGCGGAATAACTGCATTTTTGACTACTTGTGACCACTGCATTTCACTCGACCAGCTATATGTACTGAGGAGCTAGGGTCCAAACCAAAGACCGAAACGTTTACTTTATTATATATATTTTATTCAATTTGTTGAATTTGTAATATTTTATTACTGTCGCCCGTCCATCGTCGCGAACGAGCTCTCATTTGCCTTGTTTTGTTTATTTCTACCAAAATCATTTGTATTTCTGCTGCTCTACTTCTTACGCAAGCATCTGCCGTAATTCTTGTTGAATTCTGCTGTATGTGCTAGTTTGCAACAATGCCGCTAGGCGGCGCATAATAGTAAAACTAACTCGCAAGTAAATTTCAGTTGGGATCTAATATAAGCAGGCCTCCGGCGAAGTGCGAAGCA